ATATATATATAATACATACGGTAGCAAAGAATAAGAAGCTTCATCAAGCGCAATTTTGGATATTGCTCCGGTTCGTTGACAAGGACGAGATCAAAACATGGGTGGGTGGGATCACATTTCCATCTTCAAGTTGTTGGCTTCCTGAGTTCCTGCAAGAATACCAATACATGATTTTATGTGCGTCCCAACATTTTAATGGTGTAAAATTCGCTTGTTAAATATTTGCATGCATCTCTTGTACTATGAATTCAATGTTGCATGTTATATGCATGGATTCAGATGTGTCATTGACACAGTATAAGTGAATGCATCTGCAGCTTTTGTAGCACAATCTGAACAGGGCAGTGGAGCTAATCATGATGATTACTTCTTCTTATTCTCAGAAATAAGGACAAGTGACTAGAGAATAACTGAACTTCATTTTCTTTTTTTTCTTTTTCTTTGTTTTGGGGGGGGGAGGGGATTGCAAGTTAACCTGGAAATGGTGGGGATGGAAAGGCAGCTGGTCTTCCTTGTAGGAAGCCCATGTTGTAAAGGGCCTGAAGATCAGCATCCCAAGTAGGCAAAGATCCATTGCCCTGTAACATAAAAAAAATCCAATAGTTGGATTTTCCTGTTTTATGTGAAGAGAGAAAGAATAAGCCAAATTATGCGCTCGATGAGTTGAATTACTTGGAATCCGGGCTCAATAAATGGGTCAGGGATCGTAACAGGTCCACTCGTAGTTCTTCGTAGGGCCTCAGTGGTGCTTATTGGTACATCTAGCCCACAACACGGTGTTACTGGTTGCATGGCAGCGGGTTGAGCTGTGTTAAAATGAAGGTACGAAGCAGACGCAAGTTCAGGGGAGACCATACTGCTATTGCAAGGAGAAAATATCTGCACAAGATTAACAGAGTATTAGGAACATCGCTGGGACAATAAATCTCCCCCATTATGGTTTCTATGGTATCTTCTAGGTAGTTGCAATAGTATGAACAAAGCATAACATGATTTATACATATGACTCATTTCCTTTGGCTTGAAAGAGAAATAGATCCAAATTAAATAACAACTCTGTGGTGTTTTGTTCATATATCGTATTTCTTTCACCGTGTAGCTAATAAATTTCAGTTAAAAATTTATCTTTGTGGCTCAAGGTTGGGGATGAAAGGGACATCAAAACATTTGTCTCCCTTACCTCTTTTGTGAAGAAGTTGTCGATGTTAAAGTCCAGCCTGGGATTCACGGCTGCCAATTTCATTGACAAGAACTGTGATAAAAGAAGAACTGCTCATTATTAATAATTCAAGCATTTTTTGCGTCTCTGTCTGTGTGTTCATGGTATAATAGAGCAAAAAAGAAACCACGAAAACTTTTACCTCTACTTGCTGTTGTAGAGATTGAACATAGTTGATGATCTCATCCAGCATCCCAGCCTTGCCTGTGATCTTGTTGCATCCTGGTACCAAGTCTTGCAAATATTTCATCCTTTCACTGATCTTCTCCCTTCTTACCTGCACACATAGATTGAGCCCATAAGCTTCTTTCTAGTTCGACCATGCATATGTAAAGATTTGCAAACATAATGTATATTAAACTTTTCCAACTTATTTCAAAATTCTTGGATGTAATAGGCAAGATGTTATTCCTAGACCCTTCTAAGAGTGAACTTAGAAGTGTGCCCCCAGATATTAGCCAGCTCTTGCCTCTCTGTTATATCATATTTTCAGATGGGGTATTTTGTTGCTAGTTCATAAGGACTATAACGAAGGGGTACATGTACTAAGGACTATAACAGAAGGGTACATGTACTTTATACAATGCATGTTTAGCATATGCTATGCTATGTACACCTGCCACACTCTCCATTCTCATCTTCATTAATGAACAGCGGAGAGCAGCCAGCTACCGCTGATGGACAAAGGCAAATGTCTTTCTAGAATAACCACTCATCTCCACCATCGATTGAAATTGACAAATGATCCGAGGCTAGCATGTGGACTAAATACTATGCATTGTGTATATTCCCATAGTAGTACTATAAGACCATATACTTTTAGTATAAGGAGGTCACGATCTCTTTTAGATATTGGATGTGAAATCCAATTGATAAAAGTGTATCACAGCATTTGAAAATTTTTACACTTTGTGCTCAAACATCCTCAACCACCTAATTTCAAATCTAACGGTTAATGATAATTAAATGGTCTCGTGATGTAACTTTTCTAAGGGTAAAAATTAAAAAGGTTGAACATTTTAACATGTAAAGATGTGTATGGTGTTACACCAGTTGATAAAATACATGTACAGAGAGAGAGGGAGGGAGAACTTACTCTCTCTGCTAAGCTATGGCTATCAGTGGCCTGGCCTCGACGAGCACGGACATGGATATAATCAGGCTTTTGAACCTCTGATGCCTTTGAACTGTCCTTTGTCGTCTCAACTGACATTTCACTAGTGTTATTGTTGTCGTTTCTCCTCTGCTTCGAAACCTCTTCATCTCCATCACCATCTCTCTCTCCTTTGATCCTCTTGTCTTTCATTTCTTCGGTCACCATCCCCTGAAGCATGATAGAAATCTTAAGCCTCAAAATCAAAAGGAAAAGACAATTACAAGTAAAAGAAAAGAAACAGAACCATGAAATGTATTAAACCTAGAAATCATAAGGAAATGAAAGTAAACAAAGCCTTGGATTCAAAATCTTAAGCATCATGAAAAGCAAAAGAGAAGATACGAAACCATGAATTCAAAACATCATGAGAGGATTATGAGCGGTCGCAAAAGTTGGGATGACTTGGTCATTAAAACCAAACCTAAGGAGTGAAACCGTCTTTCCCAGTAATTAAACTCGCCCAAAGAAATATGAGAGAAGTACTGAAACGAACCCTACCTTCGATCAAATTGTCCATCGAAGCAAAGAATTCCCGCGAATTTCTTTTCCCAGAATTTACGTAATAGAAAGCCCAAAGTTCGAGGGTATTGAAAGAATTTCGAAAAAGAAAAAGAAACAACGCCAATTTACCTTGAAATCCTTCTGCTTCGCCATCTCGAAGTGCCCAAATAACGACATTGTGGGAGTGAATAGAAATTTGATAATATAAAAATAAATGGAAAACCATTTACCTTCACATTTATTTCATTAACCAAACTCGAACTTTAAAAGGAATTTTATTGCCATCAGATTTCACATCGAATGGTTGCTTATGACCCCTTACAACAGGCAAATGGTTGTTGACTGATTTTCACAAAAAAAGGAGAATATTTTGAGATATTTCTTAACGTGAAAATATTTCGGGATTCTTTTACACTACTTATTAAAACGGTGAAAAAATTCTTACACCTGATCAAAATTTTTCAATGTAAAAATACTTTTAATAGTACAAAACGCACCCTAATGTACTCATTGGAATTTGAACTTTCAATCCGAGAAAGAAAAACAACAAAAAAAAAAAGCAAAAAAAAAAGAGCCAGCCACTTATTTTAACAAATTACCTTAGGGCTAGAGGCCTCTGATGCGTGACCTTGAGCTTTCTCTGCTTTCCTCTTCTTAAAACTTCCTTTTAGGGAAGCAGCAACCCTCCCTTTCTCATCTTCTTCTTGCCCGTCAATGTCAGCTGGACAACTCGAGCTTCTAGAAATCGCAGCTTGCCCTAATCCACGACAAGCCGCCTCCATCTCACTGTTATTAGCCGCCGCCGACCCACCGGTTCCAAACCCTAGTCGAGCCGGTTCAGGCAAAGGCTCGAAGCCGCCTCCCTGAGCCAAGTACCCAGCCGTCAGATCCGGCCACCCCCCATCCCTACCGTCCGCCCGGCTCAGCATCTCGATCAGCGCCGTCGATGACTCCTGATGCTTATCTGCTTGTGAGCCAGTGGGGAAGAGGTTAGTTGAAGCCGAGCCACCGAAGTCTTGGGGCTTGAGCCATTTAAGCCTGGTTCGTTGTCTTTCTAAGACGGTCATGTCCATTGAGCAGAGGTCGATGGTTGGCTCGAGCCGATAGTGATGGGATTGCGCCGAGCCTGGATGCCGAGCCATGCATGACCTGGAACCAAGCCAGCCGAGTTAGCAAGCCGAGTTTTCGTTTTCTTTTTTTCTTCTTTTGTCACTCAAACAAATGCACCGCAAATTGGAACAGATCACGGGTTATGAGACACGTGTTAAGCGACAAGTGTGTAGAAGGATGTGACCGATAAAAGCTGGAATAATGGGGGCTTTTTGTTAATCTGCAGAGGGTGGGTCTCATGAGAGCCATTGCTGGCGCATTCGTGGCAAGCAAAGAATGGCGATGCCACCACGTGGAATGCTTGGAGTATTCGTAATTAGCCACCTCAGCAATGACGTGTACAGTGTTAGGGTGGGAGGTCTCTAATATTGCCAGTGGAAGGCATGAATATATCCATCTACCCTTGTAAGTAAATTCTCTTTTCGATGAAAATGCCCCCAAATAGGCCTCACTCCCCTTCGGTAGATGTCGTCTTCCTTTCCGACTGAGGCATCTTCTTTTTTTCTTTTTTCTTTTTCTTTTTTTCTGACTCAACTCGTAATCCATTGTTGTGAGATTCTCAAAATTTGTGATTCACCATTCCTCTCGCCTTCGGCTCTCGAGATTCGTTCGGCATAAAATTGCCAAGGGATTGCATATTATGATAGTGGTTACTTCTAATACAAAAATGTCATATTTCTACTCTTAGTTATCGGATGTAAAATCATGGGTGAAGAGATGTTCCGAGATATCTTAAGAATTAGAACCCTTCTTCAACTTAGATGTCCCGTTATAAGGAAAATACTGATACTTTCTCTAACTTTTTCCTAATAATAGCTTTTTTAAAAAAAGGTAGTATCCCATAATCTCTCTGGGTTTTATAGGAGGCACACCAATAAGGGACATCCAACGGAATAGAAAGCGAATCACTTTCATGCTAATCACTTCCCAAAACATCCAAAAAGCAGACGTCCTTGTTAATTAGAAGATACCTAAACCCAATTTGTAAGTCAAACATTTCCAAGCATGCTTAGGACATTAATAAGAGAGTTAAAGATAATAAGACAGTTTACGAGAATGCTTAGTGGGCTCATCACAATCCGAATTTTTATTGTGAGAAACTAGTCTATGCTAAATGTCGGTGATACTTACCAAACAAATAACACGCAAATGATGTCAACAAGTACTGAATACCGTTATAAAGGGAGATTAGAGAAAGTAAAGGGTTTTATTACCCTTCGGTCATCGTCCCTATAAGCAAGGTTACTAAGACCACTTATCAACCTGATTGACCTTCAAAAAAAGAAAATGAAACATGAGAGAAAATCCAAAAAGGATCTAACATCCAAAATATGACCTACATTATGCCAGTAGAACATTAGGAGAAAGAAAAAAGATTCTGAAAACTACTTAAGGTACAAAAAGAATAAAAACATGGCCAAAACAGTTGAATCCATCACTCTAAAATCCCCCAAATTTGACATTGGGAACTTAAGACATTAAAGAGTACCCAAATTTGGCAAGTCTACTGATTCTATAGGGGCCCAACTTAAAATTATTGCAAAGTGCCCAAATTGAAACTAGAAGGGATTGAGGAATACCCGATATTAGTAAGTCTAATTATTTTATAGAGAGAGAGAGAGAGATAACCCAATTTGGCAAATCTAATGAAATTCAGACTTCCCAAATAAAACTAGATAGATAGATAGAGAGAGAGAGAGAGGCACCTTAAAATTTTGGGTGCAGGAGCTCTTAGGTGAAGGCGGTAGTCTGAAAGACGAAATCTTTGGGACTGCTCTGAATTGCCTCAAAAAATAATGCAAAACCACAAAAAAATGCACGTTCGCATCTGGTCTCCTTTCTCAGCTTTATAGTGTATGACACAAAGCAATGCAAAGGAAAGAGAGAAAAAGCTAAGACCTTCAATTTTACCGGAAACCAGTAAAAATTCACGTAATAAATCTGAGCAAGGATAAATTGATGGGCTCCTATTGATGGAATTTTAGGTTTTAATGCATAAAATATATCATCCATTATCCTCGAACAACGGACAGGATATGGACTCCTCGGGACCATGGGCCCCACCCATTGTCCCCCCCTCTATTTATCCATACTCTACCACCGTATTTCTCTTTTCTTTTTCTTTTTTTCAAATCCAATTTCATTTTTGGACAAAAGACGGAATTAGCCTTAAATTTTCATCCATATACAGTCACAGCACTTTTTACATATCTGCAAAAATGATGAAAATGACCATTTCATCGGCTGAAATATGGGTTTTCTCATAGATTTGAAGCAAATTTTATTTTATAGTTTAATGAGGAAAGAGTCTCTTAACTATAATAGAAATAGAACTCAAAACGTCATATAGTGACGCCCATATTAACTTGATCACCTAACCTTGAGTCCATTCTTTGAGCATCTTTGTTTTTGAAAGATTTCTACGTGAGATAACAATGAATCAATTCTCCCTCTTATTTTTATGCTAATTTTATTTATTTTTTCCTACCATCTCTCATGCCACTCCATGTTATGTTTTATATGATTTTATATCCATCCCCCATTTCCCTCGTTTCTTTAATTTTTGAAGAAATACTAAGAACTCCATGGGATTGGGCCCATGCACACACGCCCCCCTCCTCCTCATGCTCCCCTTATCTCCTCCCCTTCTAAAGTATATGCTTTAAAAAAATAACAAGTGAAGGTTAAAAAATTGAAATGAGATACTCCATAGTCCTCACCACCCGACAAAGACAAAAATACCCCTGGATAAACACCAAATGTAACGCGTCCATAAAAAAGAACTAACTACTGTTAAATAGAGATGTCTTATTACTAAAAAAAGACCAAAATGACCCCCCCCCTATACGAATCCAAAAATAAGCAGGAGAAGACAAGCGTTACCCCAGAAGAACACGAAATCTCACGTACATAAAAAAAGGGAGATGCCCCGGGTTCATGAACTAGGAAAAAAGGACAAAATTACCCTTGTATATACCAAAAATACATAAGAGTCTAGGTCCCATGGATTCCTCAGGCTCCTCCAAAAATGAGCAAAAAAAATAACCAGAAATTTCGGGAACTTGAAAAACCGACCACGAAATTCCCGGAATTTCCTCCCAATTGTCCAAGCAAACTGACAAAAGGGGGCGAGGTCCTTGTTTTCATTTTCCGTCTCCATCAATGACATACTAAAATGGTCACGTAGAGTTGTTCACGTTAGATTTATGATCATCTAATTATGAGTTTGACGTAATACCAGTATCAACATAAAACATCTCTTGCTCTTTCTCGAGAGTCTCTCGACTCGGGGAGATAACTCACCCACAGGCCGACCCTAACTAGCCGAGCCGAGTTTCAAGTTACTCGCCCGTCAAGCAGGTCTTGGGCATGGCAAACAGTATTAAAAAATACAAAAATCCCATAAAATATAAAAAAATATTTAAAGTAAATTTTTTTTTAAAAAAAAAAACACTTATAAATGACATTAAATTAGTAGTGAAAAAATCGATTTTGAAAATAATCAATTTGTGACTCGCGGTATTTTAAAAAACTCGAAAATGAAAAATATAAACATAAGTATTCATATCTAAAATAATTTTCAATCTTTACTACAATGATAAAAGACATTAATAAATATATTACAAATAAATTTATTTTATAAATTTTCTAATTTTTTTAAAGGAAAGTTATGGATTTGTCCCAAAATGAGTTTTGTAGACATTTTACCCCCATTAGTTTTAGTAGCACTCCCACAACCCAGTTAATGTTTTTTCTTGCGCCCTCTCTCTTTCTCTCTGCTTGCCCTTTCTTTCTCTCTGTTTGCCCTTGCTTTCTCTCTCTACTTGCCCTTTCTCTTTTCTCTCTATCCGCCCTCTCTCTCTCCACCCAATATTAGAGAAAGAGGGGAAGCAGGTAGAGCGAGAGAGAGAGCGTTTAGAAAGATATTGATATTGGGTGGAGAGGGAGAGAAGGTGGGTAGAGAGAGAGAAAGGTAGGGTAAAAAAAGAGATAGAGAGGTTGGGTAGAGAGAGAACGAGAGAGAGAGGGTGCATAAAGGGTGGGTAGAGGGAGACAAAGTGAGAGAGGGGGAAAGGATAGTTTAGTCTTTAAAGTATTTATTTTTTATGCGGGGGGCAAAAGCAAAAAAAAAAATTTGTGTCTGATCCTAGGTGAAATATTAAAAATATTGGAAGTAGAATGTCTATAAAGTTCATTTTAAAATATATCCACAATTTTCTCTTTTTTAATTTTTTATTTAGTATTCCCAAACTTGACCACCAAACTCTGGATACTCCGGTAACCTCCGGGTGCTCGCCGGTATTACCTATTTGGTGGGACTGGCGGTTGGAAAGGGACAGTGTCCTGTAGGCAGGACCACTATTGAGAGCATTAATTTTTTCAAAGGAACTTGCGGCATGTAATTTCAAAGAAATGTTACCTAGAGGACTATGGGACAATTTATGCTTCCTTTCATCTTGTTTCTCTCTCCTCTGTCTGTCTCTCTCTCAAATCAAGTGAGGCAAGAGGCAAGAGGCAAGAGGCAAGAGGCAATAGGAACTATGTTTTTCATTTTCATGTTTCATTCATTTCCTAAAATTGGCTGACTCTACACGCACAAATAAAAAAAAACATATATAATCCGAAACTGCTTTTAGTTACAAGATACGTGCCAACTACTATTATTGTTTTGTTAGTTAGCGAGTGTGAAGATCGTCGTCCAGGGCATATTTGGTGTCCTGGATGGATAGGAGGCAGATGACGACCACACATTGCTTCCAAAAGAGGGGAACCTCTCCTCTTTATTCTTTTGTTTAATTTTGGGATCGGATTAGATGGAGGAAAGGGGCAGATCCGAGGAATGTGGCAGGCCGGCCTGACCCCTTCCTTCAAAACCCTCAAAATAAAAATTAAAAGCATTCGCGACCCAAGAAAATAAAGGAATGGCAGCTACAGCCTTGTGGAGTATTCCTCTTCTCTGCTAACTACCACCACCAACAAAGCACCACACAAATTCTTCCTCCCCTCGCACTCCAAGGAGAAAAACCCATAAGTATGAGAGAGAGAGGGTAGGTTCCTGAGTAGAGAGTAGGGTTCCTATCAAGGAAAAACCGGCGTTCTAACCGGCAACCGCCCGGTTAGATCGGAATTGGCTACTGGCCGGTTTCGTTTGTGGTCAGTTTTGATGACTGTTAGGGTATTTAAAAAAAATTCAAAAAGATTACATAAATTTGCCAAAATAAGGATTTTTGTTTGTAATATATTTTTTAATATTTTGTATTATTATGGAAAAAATTAGAACTTGTTCTCTTCATGAATACTTATTTTTACATTTTTCATCTTTTTATAAAAGTTCAAAAGTACCCTTAGCCACAAATCAATTTTATAAAATCTATTTTTTCGTTAATTTTCAACTTCATTTGGATGTGTTAAATATATTTTTCGTATTTTATTAGATTTTTTTTATATATTTTTCAGCATTGTTTTTACCGTCAAAGACTTGTCTGGTTAACAGTTGAATCAAGCGGTTTACCGGTTGGGCCGGTTGAACCGCTTCCGAGCCCATGTCCAGTTAACCATTCTGGTTCGATTTTGTGAATACTGGTTCCTGTCTTTATATAATAGGAAATGATCCTGAGTGTGTATTAAAAAAGGTGTGATTTGCATGAGGTTGCGATATAAAACAATCAAAGTAAAGTGCACCAACAAATTTTATTATGAGATATAATTTTGGAGCCAAAATTTATTAATATGGCTTAACAATCAATTTTTATCTCTAATTATAAAATTTTAGACTCCAAAAATAGTTCAAATCAAGTGGATATATAAACACATGAAAGTCTTGAAAATGGACGGTCCAGATAAATGTTGCAAGATGTATTATTTTTGGGACTCGAAAACTTTCTTTTTCCCCATAGTCATGCATCTCGGTGTTCAATTAGAGGGGTTTTTTAGTTCAAAACAATCTTTCACGATGGAATTTTTAGGTGTACCTTAATTCTAAATATCGGGAGTAGAATCATTATTGAAGGAGACTCTATGAACGTAATTAATTGGAGTAGCGTATTCCATGAGAATTAAGGTCTAGCTACCTGCAGATTATGGATTTGGTGGCTTCACTTTCAGTTTTTTTTTAGCATGTCTATCGCGAGGCGAATTCCTTGGCTGACTTTCTTGCTAAAAAAGGAAGGGCCTCTTTGTCCGTTATAGCTATTTTCTCTGATGTAATTTCTTTTGAATAGATTTTATATATAAAGTTAAAAATACTTGTAAAAAAAAAAAAGAAAGAAAAAAAGGTTGCAACCTTTATATAAACTTTTTTCTATTAAAAATACATGTTGTGGTGTATAAAATTTTTCTTTATCCCTTTTTTCAAAGAATATTTTTTACCATTCTCCCCTTGACCTATATTGAAAATATCCACCATACAAACCAAAATGCCTCTCTCTCTCTAACCTTCAAATAAACCGACAACCCCTCTCTTGATCTATATTCATCCCTCATCTTTCTCTTCTCTCCATCGTTCATAGAAATCGGCCGAGTCAACTGGGTCTAGTCCTATTGCCAAGACCGAGTAGGCCTGAGTCAACCGTACAAGTGCTTCTATATCCATCAAATGAACATGACTCGGAGAGATTTTCAAAAACTCGTCCCAAACCATCAAGAATCACCCTACATTTTCCATTTTCGCTATGAAAACTTGGTTTTCAAATATTGGAAAATTTCCTGAACTGTGTGTCGATCTTTTGGACTGATTTTGATAGATTATTGGAAGCCTTTCTGTGTTTAACAACAATATAATTTATATGATACGATGTGGCATAAAATCCCAAATCAAACAAGTTTTCGCCATGAAATTATTCGAATTTAGGTTTTTTTGTGCGATTTTTTTTCCCGCCAAACCTCTATGTTCTATCTCATTTCTATACCAAATTGGATGAGGTTTGATTTGTTTCAAAGTTGTTGAAATCAGATTCAAAATCCCTCTACAGATCGTGGTTTCGTTTCGCCATTATTGACTGATTTCTCGCATCAAAGAGTTCTTTGTGCAAAAAATTTTTCCTGTCAAACCTATTTATTTTATCCCATTTCTACACCAAATTGGATGAGGTTTGGTTTGTTTTGAATCTTTTGAAATCAACTTCAAAATTCCTCTTAAAATCCGTGGTTTTGTTTTACCATTATTGCCTGATTTCGTGCAACAAAGAAGTAATATTTTAAAAACTGTCAAATCAATCACTCAACAATTTTTTAAATCTGATTTTTAGTTTTGTTTGAAGCTTTTGAAATCGTCTTCAAAAGCCCTCTACAGATCCATGGCTTTTTTCCTCCAAGATCGGCTGATTTCGTCCATCAAAGAGGTAATATCAAAAAATGGGCAAATCAATTATTATCTCTAATTACTAAACAATTTTTTTTCTTTTTTCTTCTTCTGATTTTTAGTTTGTTTTGAAGCTTTTGAAATCATTTTCAAAGGCTCTCTACATATCTATGGTTTTTTTTGCTCCAAGATTGATTGATTTCGTGCATCAAATAGGTAGTCCAAAAATCGCCCAATCTATTTTTCTCTAATTAATCAACAATTTTTTCTTATTTGTAGTCCGTTTTGAATCCTTTGAAATCATCTTCAAAAGCCATCTACATATCAGTGGTTTTTTTGCTCCAATTTTTAGTGCATCAAAGAGGCAATATCGATGAACTAATAAAAAATTACAAAATCTATTTTTCTATCTATTATAAAATTCGAAGCACATCCTTACTAGAGGCTAGATCTGAGGATCTGCTGTCTAACCTAAGATGCCCTACTCTTTTTCACTACAAATGGAACAAATACGTGTTCTTCTCTAGACTTTTGTTAAGAAAAAGCAGCAGTGCAGACCATTGGAAAAAGAAATTCATAGTTGGATTACCTTACTTTTTTGCCGAAAAGGTCAAAAATAGATTAAAAAATAAAAATAATGGTATAATCCCATATTCCCAATATACATTAGGAGAATTATCTGCAAAAATTTGTGCAGAAGGCATAGCTTTATGCACTGATCTAAAATTAAAAAGACAATTAGATAAACAAAAAATGACAGGAAAGAAAAAATTAGGAGACTTTTGTGAACAATTCAGGTATAGTATAAATCCTTCTTCTAATAAAGAATATAAAAAATCCTCTCGACATAGAAAATATAAGCCTCAGAGAAAAGAATCTCAGAGGATGGAACATAAACAAAAGAATAAATTTATTAAAAGATTTTCTTCAAAAGGTAAACAAGGAAAAAAGAGACTGTCAGTCTGCTATAAATGTGGCAGGGTTGGACATTACAAAAGTAATTGTAGGATAAAAAGAAAAATTGATGCTCGAAGTTTAGACGAAGAAACAAAAAATCAATTATACAATATTATCCAAATAGAAAACCAATCAGACAATGATTCTGAAACGTCTGATGATGATTCATTAATTGGGAAAATAGAAGATGAACATTCAGTACGTAATTGCTCTGAATCTGAAACTAGTTCAGACATAGATGAGCAGATGCAAGATTGTTTCTGCTAGACTCTTACCAAAGAAGAAAATTTTATCGTTGATTTAATAGATAAAATATCCGATCCCGAAGAAAAAAGAGAAGCAATAACCCAATATGTACAAGTAGCTAAGACCAAAACTAAATCACCTCAATTAATAAAACCCCAGGAATATAGTCCATCCGAAATTCTTAAACGAATGAATAAAAGAGAAGTTATACAAAGAGAAACAAAACTAGCAGAGTTGAAACAAGAAATTAATGAGGTAAAAACAGAAGTACAACAATTAAAAAATAGAATTAGAATACTAGAAATGGCTACAGAATTCTCTGAACCTGAATCTAATGAAGAACTAGAATTTGAAAATCTATTAAATAAAACTATAATAGATAAACCTGAGTCATCAAGAATTTCAAAAACAGAAAATGAGAAAATACAAGAAAATCATTTAGATATAATAGATAAGGTTATTACTCAAAAATGGTACACTCTAGTACAAATAGTAATACAAAATGAATACAGCTTTCAATCATTAGCATTAATTGATTCTGGAGCTGATTTAAATTGCATAAATGAAGGTTTAGTCCCCACAAAATATTTCGATAAAACTACTCAAATACTTAATACTGCTGATGGTAGTAAACTTATAATTAATTATAAATTATCAAACGCAGCTGTATGCAACAATAGTAACGGCTTTGATATACTTCTTATTATGGTTAAAGGATTAAGTCAAGCAGTAATATTACTCCATTTTTAAATCTACTCTATCCCCTAAAAATAGACAATACATAATAGAAGCAAATCTAGATGGTCACAAAGTTAAATTTGAGTTTATAGAAAAACCAAAAGTAAAAGAAATCAATAATATTAAACAGACTATCAAAAATAAAGAAAATTTCTTATGTTTTTTAAAAACTGAAGTCAAATATAAACAAATAGAAAATCATCTACTACTTCCAGAAATAAAAGAAAAAATTGAGACTATTAGAAGACAAATAGAACAAGAAATTTGTAATGAACTACCAAGTGCCTTCTGGAATAGGAAAAAACACATGGTAAGCCTACCATATGAAGATGGGTTTACTAACAGTAAAATCCCTACAAAAGCAAGATCCATACAAATGAACTCAAGACTTTTAGAAATATGTAAAAAAAAAATAGATGAACTTTTAAAAAAGGGTTTAAATAGAAAAAGTTCATCATCCTAGAGTTGTGCAGCATTCTATGTAGAGAATGTTGCTGAAAAGGAACGAGGAGTACCTAGACTAGTAATAAATGATAAACCTCTCAATAAAGTAGTAAAATGGATCAGGTACCCAATACCTAATAAAAAAGACTTACTAGATAGATTACTGAATGCATGTATATTATCAGAATTCGATTTAAAGTCAGGATATTGGCAAATTCAAATAAATGAAAAAGATAGATATAAAACAGCTTTGAATGTTCCATTTGGCTAATATGAATGGAATGTAATGCCTTTTGGACTAAAACATACCCCGTCTGAATTCCAGAAAATTATGAATGATGTTTTTAATCCTTATACAAAATTTATGATTGTATATATAGATGATGTCTTGATTTTTTCAAAAGATATTCAGCAGCACTTCAAGCATCTCAATGCTTTCTTGACGCGGTCAAAAATGCAGGTTTGGTTGTTTTTGCTAGAAAAATGAGTTTATGCCAAACAAAAATTAGATTCTTAGGCCATAACATATTTCAAGGAACCATTGTTCCAATAGATAGAGCAATAGAATTTGCAGACAAATTTCCTGATATTATTCTTGATAAAACAGAACTACAAAGGTTCTTAGTATGCTTAAACTATATTGCTGATTTCATTAAAGATTTAGCTATCATAGCTAGACCTTTATATGAAAGATTAAAACAGAATCCGCCGAAATGGACGGATAAACATACTCTTGCAGTCCAACACCTCAAAGGTAAAGCAAAAGGATTACCTTGTTTAGTATTAGCTGATCCAAATGCCTCTAAAATTATAAAATTTGATGCCTCCGAACTCGGATTCGGAGGAATACTCAAACAAAGAATTGATAATAGAGAACAACTAGTTCGGTTCACATCCAAAGCATGGAATAGTACACAACAAAATTATTCCACTATAAAAAAGGAAATATTAGCAATAGGCCACTGCGTTACTAAATTCCAGAGTGATATCCTCAATACAACATTTTTAATACGAACTGATTGTAAAGCAGCCAAAGACATCTTGCTTAAAGATGTCAAAAATCTGATTTCTAAACAAATCTTTGCTCGTTGGCAAGCTATTCCTTCCTCTTTTGACTTTACTATTGAACATCTCCCTGGTACTGATAATCACCTTCCTGATTTTCTCACACGATAATTTTTGCAGGGGGGACAGAGAGGAGGAGGACCAACAACAGCCACAGCCACAGCAAAAATTTAATATCAATATGAATACAAATACAAATACAAATACAAATCCTAATCCCCAAAACAAAGGAAAAGCCAAAATGGAAATAGTTCCATCCTCACCTGTAGAATCCCCAATAATGAGCTATCCACCTTTGTCACCTGCATCTTATCTAGAATACTCTAGCCAAATAAGCAAAGACCAAACCCAGACTCAGACTCCAGTATTTATCCAATCACCAATCCCAAATAAAGTATATTCATCCGGAAAATCCCAATTTGAAGAAACCACTTTCACGATAGATACCATTATAGAAGATGTCCATTGGGCAACCGACCCAAATAAAATTGCCAACCTTTATCTTATGAACAATTTAAACCCATCTAATGGGAATAAAACCCGTGAATGGTATGAAGCTATTTTACTTGAGACAGGCTCAATCACCCTGGTACATTTTTACCAGCGGAATATAAATATAATTGCCTACTCAAAGCTTCAAATTAGAAAAATATTGTCATACAGTGATTGGGGCTCAGATCCCTTCCGAGGAAAAAAGTTACAGGCTCAAGAATTTCACAATAAATATTACAAATACTCAGAATACATTGATGCCTGACATAAAGTATTTGCTCTCCAAAATAATAATAGTTCTCATACCTGGTTTATCCAAATTAAAATGCCTATCCTTGAGACATTCCCCAATTGGTTTCGAAACTGGTTCTTAATCTGGGGCTCAGGCTCCCAAATTCTTCCTCAAAGCCTACAAGTATCTCAAGCTAAATTTTTTGAATTCAATGGAAAGGATCCCAATATAGACTACCACCTATACTTCATGGCTATTTACCAAATACCAGGGATTATGAAGTGGCAATATGGAATATCTGAGAATACAACTAACAATTTTGAATATATCCCAAGATTGGGAAAAAAGATCTTTATAAAATGGTGGGATGTATTTGAAAATAAAGCTCTAGAACCAGAGAAAATAATATTGAAGAAAATACTAGGGCAAGCCCAATATGAAAACCTAAATAGTTTTTCAGAATACATCAATAAAATGAAAAAACAGAACCCGCAGGCAACCAAGGAGGAATTAAATAAACAATTATTACAAATGTTTGAAGAAGAAGCAGATAATATGACACTCTCTTCTCAAAATGAAGACGATGCTGAAACAGGAATGGAGGATGAAGAACTTCTACAAAGGCTCGACTATGGAGACTTTTCACAAAAGCTCGAATAAAGTTTGAAGACCCAGTGAAGGCCCTATAAAATCCAAAATACATGTCTCCCACTTGAATAAAAGAGATTCCCACTGTCTACCTGTCTCCCACTTGAACAAAAGAGATTCCCTCTATCCATCGAACAGTGCCTCCACCGACACCACAGTACCTCCACCGACAGCACAGTGCCTCCACTAACACCATCCGTACTTCCAGCTTGCCACAGTAAAGCACTACCTGCCAAAAAGATATTATTAAAGATACGGACTTATACAAATATTGAATAATTCTTTGAGTTTCGGACTCTATAAAAGGAAGAAGAAGTCCTCGCAAGAGAAGCAAGTCTGAAGAGGAGCCTTAAGAGATCCGCTCCCTGCTTCATCCACTTCCATCCCTCATCTTCTCCTTCCCTCTTCTCTTTTTGTATATACTCTTACTTCTTACCTAGTTCTACACTTTCCTCTATAGACCTACCGGAAGTTGTACTTCTTTGAACTCTGCAAATACTCCGGGTAACTGTTTTTGTACCCTATTTTGTACTTTCATGTTTCTGTAAAATAGATGTGCGACTGTAATCTCAGTTCTCTTCCTAGTTACTGCCCTGACAAATGGAACTATTTCATAGTTTCTGTATTTGCTCTCAGTAAGTCTTGTAATTTTCTGTATTTCTGTATCATAATCCTGATATCAATAAATGATTAGTTATTGTGTGTTATACAAATAAAGTTTATTTTCAGTATTAAAATTTGAGGTATTATACATACTAGTTGGATAATTTTAGACATATCTCCCTTCTCTGTATTTGTGATAATACTTGTTTTACTTTATCTAAAATTTGTTAAACTGTTTAGTTGAATATTTCTATTGAGAATAGTGTCTTGGTTATGTTGTTTAAAATCGGTCTTGGTTATGTTGGTATCAGAGCCATAGTACCATAGTTCCACAGTAGCATAGTGCTTTAAGTTGTTGGACTTAAAATCCTAAAGTCTAGCAACTTAATAAAATTTATCCATTTAGGAAGTTAGTCTGAGATTTAAGACCATTGGCGCCCAATCCAATTGACCGTTAAGGCCAGGAAGAGCCGCTGAGGTCGCAGAGACATAAGAGGTTGCCTAGAGTCATTATCCGTAACTCCAAATGGAAAATTTTATTAAGACTTTAGCTCCAACTAGTAGCACATTAAGAATTAAAAATAAAGAAGAAATAGTAATTGAAAATATAGAAAAACAGATACAGAATTGGAATATTCCTAAAATCCCAATAACTGATATATATAAAAAGGGAACATTTGATCTAAAAGTAGGTTATGCTATCAAAACAGTTGAACAAAGTTTATCAGTCACCAGTGAACAGGAAAGTTTTCAATTATTATCAAATAAAATAATTCAATCACATAAAAATAAAAATTATAAATATTTGCATATAGGACTAATACAAGTAGCAATTAAACCTCTTACAAGATTAGGACTAAATAATTCAATATTGCTATGTCTACGAGATAGTCGTCACAATAAATTTACAGATTCATTATTAGAAATAGTAGAATCAAGTCTGTATAGTGGTCCGGTATATTTCAATTGTTTTCCTAATTTTTCGGTATCTTTAAGTGATCCCAACCTTTTTAAGGTCCTTACACTTAATTTGAAAACTCATGGATTTGATATGAATCCAAGATCTCAAAACATTGCTTTAATATACAGGATTTGCTATAAAGTAATGAATACGCTTAGCCCAAACGTATTACAAATTGATACAAAAGGTCAGACTGTATTTTTCCAGACAAACATGGAAAAATCAAATACAGTAATTCCAAAGTCAGTAGATTGGTCCCAAATAAATCTGCCAAAAACTTGGACCATCCATAACGAAAATCAACAATACCTAGCATATGTAAATACCCCCAAACAAATAATTGAACATCCAGATGGAGATATTGAACTACATTTCAATTCTAGTCGAAGAATTAGATTAAACATACTGGATGACAGTACAATCAAACGATCAAGAAGGATACCTACTCCTTCAAGATCCTCCACCTCATCAATAAGCGATGAACCTAGAATACAAGGATTGTCCAGAACAACTAGTAATATTCATTTACCCCTATACCAGCCAATAGATCCTAGCCCTTCAACCAATGAAGTTACCCTGTCTGATTTAGACCTGCAGGTTTTGACCATGCAGAAAAAAGAAAAAATAAACTTAGAATATTTAGAAAATGATTACCTATCAGCACAAAATGAACAAATAAGAAATTGGTAGTTACAAACTTTTCCGAAAAAATTAATAGATAAGTGCCATAAAAGATATAATAAATTTTTAAAAGAACACAAACAGAATATTAAATACTTTGACTGGCTAAAAGCTACTCTCAAAGAAAAAGGGTACTCTATGCCAGACTTTAAAATAAATACTATTGAAAGTCAATATCAGACTTTCGAGACAACAGAAGGAAGTGAAGAAGTATACATCCCCCTGAAAAATCTCTTATCATAAACAAAGGACAGCTAGAATCTAGAGCTTCACCATATAAAATAATTCAAGGAGAACATATCCATAAAATTGAACTACTTCCACATATAATATAACAAAATAATTATACTAATCTATATCTTCACTCTTTAGAAAAACAGACTACCCGCATAGAAAACATTATAAATAACCATATAAACAAATTGAAGAAAAGAAAAAGTTAATAATGTACAAAATAGGGTACAAAAACAGTTACCCGAAGTATTTACAGAGTTGAAAGAAGTACAACTTCCAGTAAGTCTACAAAGGAAAGTGTAGAACTAGGTAAGAAATAAGAGTATACACAAAAAGAGAAGAGGGAAGGAGAAGATGAGGGATGGAAGTGGGTGAAGCAGGGAGCTGATCTCTTAAGGCTCCTCTTCAGACTTGCTTCTCTTGCGAGGACTTCTTCTTCCTTTTATAGAGTCCGGAACTCAAAGAATTATTCAATATTTTGTATAAGTCTGCATCTTTAATAATATCTTTTTGGCAAGTGGTGCTTTACTGTGGCTAGTTGGAAGTACGGATGATGTTAGTGGAGGCATTGTGCTGTCGGTAGAGGTACTGTGGTGTCAGTGGAGGCCCTGTGTTGTCGGTGGAGGTACTGTGGTGTCGGTGGAGGCACTGTTCGGTGGACAAAGGGAATCTCTTTTGTTCAAGTGGGAGACAAGTAGACAGAGGGAATCTCTTTTATTCAAGTGGGAGACAAGTATTTTGGATTTTATAGGGCCTTCACCGGGTCTTCAAACTTTATTCGGCCTTTTGTGAAAGTTCTCCATAGTCGGGCCTTTGTAGAAGTTCTTCATCCTCCATTCCTATATCAGCATCGTCTTCATTTTGAGAAGAGAGTGTCATATTATCTGCTTCTCCTTCAAACATTTGTAATAATTGTTTCTTTAATTCCTCCTTGGTTGCCTGCGGGTTTTGTTTTTTCATTTTATTGATGCATTCTGAAAAATTATTTAGGTTTTCATATTGGGCTTACCCTGGTATTTTCTTCAATATTATTTTCTCAGGTTCTAGGGCTTTATTTTCAAATACATCCCACCATTTTATAAAGATCTTTTTTCCCAATCTTGGGATATATTCAAAATTGTTAGTTGTAATCTCAGATATTTCATAGTGCCACTTCATAATCCATAGTATTTGGTAAATAGCCATGAAGTATAGGTGGTAGTCTATATTGGGATCCTTTCCATTGAATTCAACAAATTTAGCTTGAGATACTTGTAGGCTTTGAGGAAGAATTTGGGAGCCTGAGCCCCAGATTAAGAACCAGTTTCAAAACCACTTGGGGAATGTCTCAAGGACATGCATTTTAATTTGGATAAATCAGGTGTGAGAACTATTATTATTTTGGAGAGCAAATACTTTATGCCAGGCATCAATGTATTCTGAGTATTATTATTGTTATTATTATTATTATTGTTATTATTGTTATTATTATTATTATTGTTATTATTATTATTATTATTATTATTGTTATTATTATTATTATTATTATTATTATTATTATTATTATTATTATTATTATTATGTTTTTTAAGATATTGAAATAACTTGAAAACCCCATACTATTTGCAGCTTTTTGCTGCAATATCGATTGATTTAGTGCATCATAGAGATAATATCGATTAACAGTAAAAGTTCCACCAAATTTGTTACTTCTCCTTAATTACTCAATAATGTTTTATTATTATTATTTGTCTTAAATCTATTGATATAAGCTTCAAAATCCCACAATTGATTTGCAAATTTTATTATTTCTCTCTAATTTCTCAATATTTTTTCTAAGCAATTGTCTTATATCAATGATTTTTTCTTGATGGTATCAAAATTGTCTTATATTGATTATTTTTTCCATTTTTATTTTTTAAAGAGAGTTATGAAAAAAAGAACTCCAAAATAAATCCAAGCCACTAAGAAAAATAGAGTTAAAAAAATAAATCCAAAGCCATTAAGAAATATAAATATAGAGGTAAAAAATATATTTTTTAAGAGAGTTATAGAATAAATAACTCCAAATTAGATTCAAACTATTAAAAAAAATAGAGTTACAAAAAATATCGCCCCTATAAGAATGGAACTCACAACCTCAATACTAACCAGCAAGCCACATAGCGGTAGTAACAATAGCAGCCTCCATTTTATATATAGGTTATCATTATTTGCTCTTAAGAGATAAAAAAGGGTTTGCGATTGGATCCCCCTGCGTATTGAAAGATGACTACTGTAGGCAGGCCACCACGCCATCAACTAACGCCTATAGAATGTGGTGCCCAGATCCTAACTCACTTATGTTTATTATCAGTTATAATATTTTGATGAGTCTATCATGTCAAAGTACACTCAAAAGGGTACAAAAAAAGAAAACCGCGTCAACAGTGATGCAGTTGAGATAGAGTTGGCAACTCCAGTAAATACTCCAAAATATTTGTCAAAAAGTCTGCTATGAAATAATGGAGGAAGATGTTGACCATGAGGAGGTCATTGAGCCTACTCCACATGTAGAAGAGCATTGGCTTAGAAAAATAAAGAGAATGAAAAGGACAGTAGTGCGGCACAATTTTGATGACATGGTGGATTGTGCATTGGTTACCACAAGTCAATAGCTATCTACTTTTAAGGAAGCAACACAAGATGTTGATAGTAGCAGGTGGAGTGATATCATGAACAAAAAAATGCAATATATTCAGAAGAATCAAACTCAGCCAATAGCTATCCACTTTTAAGTAAGCAACACAAGATGTTGATAGTAGCAGGTGGAGTGATATCATGGATAAAAAAATGGAGTATATTCAGAAGAATCAAACTTCAGATATCATGAAGTTTCTTGAAGACAAGAGAGTCATTGGATGTAAATGGGTTTACAAGAAGAATGTTACGGATATGCTGAAAAAAATGGTTCCATTTTAGAAGTTCAAACTAAAAGATGGTTCCATTTTAGAAGTTTAAGCTAAGTTTGAACTTGGCTAATGTATTGCCAAGATGAGCGCATAGGTGGGCACGTATAGAGAAGGCGGACGATGTGAATCTCTTTAATTGGGTAGTGCCTATTATTTAGGATTTATGGGTAAGTCCATACGTTTGGATAGATATATAGGTCTACAAGTTGAAGAGATAAAGTTAGAAGACTTAAAAGACAGGAAAAATATTAGGAGGCTTCACGTACTTATTATTTGGGGGTTGTTTTTCTTTATTAAGTTGTTTTTATAGAGAGGGAAAGTGCCAAAAAAATAGAGAAAAACTTAATAGAGAAAACTTTTCGGTATTTTGTAGATAGAAAGTTATAGAGAGAAGAAGGCTTGGTGGGAGATTCAATTTTGTATATCTATTTTTTTCCAGTAAGTGCTTTGTAATTTTTTTTCTTTGATTTAGTGGAACATCGTAAGTGATTTGTAATTTGTAAGTGCTTTATAATTTTCTTTCTTTGATTTAGTGGAACGTCGTTCGTCTTCGCCCGCGAATGTAGTCACATCTGTGATGAACCACATAAATTCTAGTGTTTATTTTTTCTATTTTATTTTGTTTTGTTTGCATGTTGCTAATTCTATTTTTTCCTACTTTATTTACCAAAAAAATCAACCCATCGGGTTTAGATCTTCTGCAAACAATTGTTCGTTAGTTCTATGTTCATTTCACAAGCTCCTTGAAGGAGTACTCACAATGGCCATGAGAGAGAGAGAGGAGAGAAAGGTGAAAGCATTAGACACATGGAGGAAACTTTTAAAAGGGGGAAGAGAGAAGGGGGATTGGTGGACTTAAAAGGGGAGAGAAAATAAAACATACGGTTTCAAGGGGTTAAAGAAAGAAAGGGAAGAAAAAGCAAAAAAATGAATCATTAAAACTCATGACAGGCTATCCAAGTCAGTGGTATTTGAGATTTTTAGATTTATAAAGTAGATGGTTAAAAAATTAGATACACACCAACTCCGTATATTCAAAATACGTAGGACCGTTCCTCTTAGAACATTGTAGAGGTAGATGGGCGTGTTATTCACTAAAGTTTTGTTGTTAGATAATTATAATAAGTTGGATAAAAGTGGCCTTTCTCTTTTGGAAGACCGGATCTTCTCCTTACATGAGATAATTATTATCCTCCTTGTGAGAAATACATTGGACATGTAGGTCTCAGTGAAAACGACCTTTTTCCACTGCAGTGGTTAATAAGGATCGCAAATATTTATGCATAGATGTGCATTTGCAGATACCCTCAGTTGGGAAATGGATCGTACATCCCCTCAGTTGGGAAATGGATCTTAAATATTTATACATAGATGTGCATTTGCAGATACCCTCAGTTAATTGGGAAAAGGCCTGATAATGATAATGATAATGTATTTCTAGATAAGTGAATTTTCATTTGGCAACCGCGTTGAAAGGAATTCTTAAGTTTTGATCTTGCATAATAGACCTTGAGGCTGTAGCTCGTATGGTTCTCCATTGAAGCAAGAGATTTTACATGGAAAGAGAGAGACTAAGAGAGATATACAATTGAAGTCATGTCACAATTGGATGGTCTTACCCTCTCCGTAACTGTCCAACTTATTAATGGATAGTGATGACCCTACTTGCCTTTTCTTGGGATAGTGGTAACCCTTGTAGCACTAAGGGTACCACACAAGACTTTTCCTCAGTACATGAAATTTACATCAGAGGTGCCTTGGGGAAACCCCTAGGGCTACACTCCCTATAAATAAATAAAAAAGGACTTTAAGATCCTAGACAACTATTCATACTCACTTGACAAGTACAAATTCAATAAACTCAAAATTACATCAAACTAATGCATTTCTTTGTTACGTATGATGCTTCTTTATTACATAAACATTTCAATTCAATAAAACGAAGTCAAAATAAGTGAACTAGATTAGATTGGCTTGGGAAGTCGATTAATGCTCTCAAGGTACCGGGATAACCCCTATGGTTTTAAATACAACCCTTGTTCAAACTCTCCACCAGTAGCGTAAGATTTTGAGGCTTAAATTGAATCTATAAACTTATACCACATCAAGGTACATATCAACTCTATTAATCATAATCAAAAGAAATGGCCTTCTAGTGAATCACATGTGCGAAATAATAAATGAAATCTATATGGGAGACAGAGAGTGGAACTTAGATGAAAATGTAAGAAAATGCACAATTGAGTACAACACATGATAAGTATAAGAGGGACTTCCAGAGGGCACTGCAATAGACTTAT